GCATGAGAAACTAAATGGAAAAGAACATCAAAAAGAATATATGTGTATAACTGAGTCACTTTGCTATACAGCAGAGATTAGCATAACATATGTACTGCTTGTGTAATTAAAATGAAAAGTAAGAATCTATTACCTGTTTAAAACAAAGTTCACCCAGTCTTTTAACTTTCCCAGCACTTATTTCAGAGTAGAAGTGGCAAATTATGTATTTATTTATAGGATTTATAGGAATTCATAGGATTTTATAAACTCTATCCCCAAAGTCACCTGCAATTGCTCTGACATCCCTAAACCAGCTCCCACCTGCCACGCACCACAGGGTTCCCCAAACTCCACGGCCCCTTTAGAAGACAGCAGCAATGAGTTGACCACAGATCTGGGCATCTGATTTCTGGCTTCAAGCAGGTGCTATGTAGATAAGCTATTAAGAGTCAAACAAGACTTCCATTTTTTGAATGTTCTTCAAACTACCAAGACAGGCTGAGATGGCAGGGTATCTGCTATAATCACTAATCAATATAGTTTAGACCTGTGACCTAATACTCCACAACCAGCCCAGGTGCTGAGTCATACCTGACTACGTGGGCAGAAAACTTTGCAGTTGCTCTCACCAGCCACTTCAAAACTTTAAGGAGTGGTTTGCTTTTAAGTATACTACACAGACTTGACTTCAAGCGACAATTCACAAAATCTGCATGTTGGTAATACATTCAGTGAATGACAAGGGTAGAGTGTGGGTGTGTACATATCCATGATTTCAGCTGCTTCTCCACCATTTTGTGAAATAAACAGCTCGCCAAAACTAGTTGAAAGTTTTATTTATATAAAATTCATTACGAACATAAAAGATTGGGTTTCTTAAAAAAAAAAATCTGCAATTATTTACAGCAGTATTGCACAAGTAAAGTGGCAATTACCCTGTCAAAATCCATCAGTGCAAAACACAAGCCAGGGAAATTGCAATACAAATGCTACATACGCTGGGTCCTAGGAAAAAAGTTACAGACAGATCAGTGCTATTTATAAATGAGTACCTGATGAGTTCTGATACAGTAACTAGTGGTCACAGAACCTGGACGTACAAATTAAAGAGAGCTTCTAAGGTCTGAAATTCCCAAATCAAAGTAGTCAAGTTATTTAGCTGGGAGCTTGAGGGTGCTTCTTACACACGATGCCGTCTGGAGCAGGACAGGTGTTACCCCAGCTGGTTTAGCGACACGTGTGGTCATGTCACTGCACATGTGCGTGCAGACTGGACACACACAGGCACCAAGCTAAATCAGCAGGGATGACAAAGCCATCAACACAGAACTGCTAGAAAAGCTCTTTCAAGCTTCCACCTCTTTGCACCCAGGCCAGTGGGGTTCAGACCCTTGCTTGAAGGCTTTGGAGAAGCAGAAGGAAGGTGTCACCCTGAAGACGCAGGTGGATCAAATGTTGGGACCAAATGGTTCAGGGTTAGGGAGAGGGCACGGGCCTGTACAGTTAGTTCCTGAAGATACATAGTAGAGTCTGCACCTCAAAGCATAGGAAGCCACAGAGAACAGTTGGGGGGGGGGGGGCGCGGGGAATTCAACTACTTATCAGTTGCCAACAAAGGTTAGTAGTGTGAGGTGGTCCAGTAGTCACTTGGGAAGCAGGGCAACTGGTCAACCAGGGCATTCAATCTGCCTGGTCTCTGCCTTCAGCGTCTCATGGCAGCACCTGCAGAAGTGGACGTGCGCGTGTCTCTGAACGCTGAGCTGTCAGGGATAAATCTTCAATGGAAAAATCTTTCCCACTGCTAATAGTAAGTATTCTGTTTTGTAAGATATGGCCTGAAGTTAACAGCACTTGTTTATATGAAAAGCTAGCTGTTCAGGAATTAGAGAGTCACTGGAAAGTTCTAGAGGAAAATCTGATTAGCTTATCAGATTTCTGGTCTCTCATTATGGTGTCTAAACACAAACCTCATCATGAGGTCAGCACACCCACTGGACTAGAAATACCAGGGACCAAAGCTGGAGGGCCACGCTGGGGAGACCAAGTGGCCTGCCGTGAGCTGACCAGTCACCACCTCAAGAGTTAAAGCAATTAACAGGACAGCAGGGGGCAAAGGGGAAAGGGAGGTCAACACTCTGCAGAACTTAAGACATTAAATAAGCCAGAAATAAATATACAACATTCCTACAAGTTACAGCATTATGAAACAGTAGGACACATTACATAGAAAAAGAATCTACAATATTTACATCCCTCAATTCTGAAAAAGTTTAGTAAAAACTGATTTTTTTTTTTTCTTTTACTCATTTAGGCTGTACAAAATTTTACAAGAAAGTAAAGAACACATAATTGCACAGACATTTGGCTCAGTTGATAAGTAAAATATGACTTCCTAATCTAATAAATAGTAAAAATATATACAATATTAAGAAGGAGAAACAGGAGAAAGTTATAGTCCACTATGTACATTTTTTTTTTAACCAAGGGAACAAAAAAATCTTCATCAATTCAGGTCTATGGAGGGGTCCGGGTAATTTGCAAATTCACTCATGAAGTTAATTTCATGCATTTATTGTATTTCTGTGAAAAGTCACAGGACACTTTCTACAAACGTCACATGAGACCAGGTGGTCAAGGCACAAAACCTGCATTAAGTTTCCAACAAGGGACCAAATTATTTTTGCTTTCTACAAAAAGTCAAAGGAAGGAAAAGAAAGACATCAAAGGTACACCTAACCATGGGCACACCTTCTGCAGGGAGGAGGCATCATGATCAACAGATACGTACAGTACAGGGATGTCTAGTCACCTCTCAAGTCCCGGGGGCAACATCCTCATTTTAATACTTCTACAATTCATAGAATCTCTGATTTCCTCACCAGCTGCTTCCACGGCCAGCCCAGGGGGCCTGCAGGCCCCCAAGCCCAAGGTAAACTTGCAAGTGGGTGAGCAAGCGCTCAGCCCCCTGGGGTACTGGTGCTGAAGGAATAAAGTGCTCCAGTCCAAGAGACTGGCCCGTGAATACGGAGATCCCGGGGGGGAGCGCCCCAGGACCAAATACGTCTTTGGTGTGTGTGTGTCCAACAGGCCCACGGCTGCAATTCCATGGACCGCCTTACCGCTTGCGTGGACTTGAGGATCCAGCGGAGGGATTCAAGACAAAGGGTCAAAGGACACAGGCTGAGACTCAACACAGCTTTTAAAACAATTCAAGACCCCAAGAAGCTACTTGGGGAAAAGAAAATGTTTGGAAGGAAGAATAGTCGGAGTCAAATCTCTCTCTACCTAAGGAGAAAGTATATATGTAACATATATATATATATATAAAACTATAAAGATACAAAAATGAATCAATTTTTCCAACCGATAAGGTAAAAACACTGGTCCTCGAAGGGCCAAAAGCAAGCATGACAGTTGTTGTTGGCACTGTTGACTTGTTTGAAAAATCATGTATGTCTTTTAAAAAAGCTGTTTAATCAGTTGAGGTTTCAAAAACTCTAAGAGCGATGGGGTTCACAGAATGACCCCCATCTCCCTGCTTGCAATGCTCCCTCAGTTGTCTGTCTTGGTTCTCCCCAGTAGTTTAACTGCCTTTGAAAAGACCGACCAGCTCGTGAGCTTCCATTCTCTGCCATCTTCCTGGCAGGTGTGAAGGAAGAGCACCCCCAACCGAAGTGGCTGCAGGAAGGGGGGCCTGACAAAATCCGGAGGTCCCAGGAGGTGGACAACTGACAGACATCCCTGTGTCTGATGGCATTCTTTGTGAGAACTGCTAAGAGCAGAATGAAGCCTTTTCTTCAAAGAGCGGTTAGCCAAGTGTGAGCCACTGAAGGCCAGATGAACTCTGAGTTGGATGAAAAGCCAGGATGCCCAGAAAACAGCTGCTTAAAGCCCTGCCACAGCCGCTGCCAATTCCCACGAGGGCTTGAGTGTGGCCCCCTGCAGCTGAACCTGGCCACAGGCGGGCAGGTCAGTCCCCTGGAGCCTTAGGCCGAGAGCCCACCCTGTGTGGCGGGAAAGCCGACAGCAAACCTGGTATCAGGACTGCCCTGAACCTCTGCAGAGCACTTCTAAACAAGTCCATCAGAGCAGGCGAAAACCGACAGTGAGCACTTCCCAGTGGGTAAGCTACCAAGAGACAGACTGACCTATGTCTGATACAGCCTCGGGCCATGGAAACAGTCACTGGACCAAATGTGTTCATCAGCACCCTGACAGGCTGGAAGAGCATCACCAAAGGATGTAAGCAAAACACACACACACACACACACACAGAGTAAAATTTTGCCACAGATGCAACTGAATTTTAAGGAGGTAAGTAGGTATTTACACAATGGGAGTGGAGACTGACAAAGGACCCCTCTCTGCCCCCTTTACCAGTTCCATTTCGTAAAAACTTTTTTGGTATTAATAATAGTGATTAAAGAAGAAAAAAAAGAAAGGTCCAAGAGGCAATGACTGGGAAGGGAGGAGCCATGTCATACCTCTCCTGTTTAGAAATGCTGTATGGTGACCTCTAAAAATAAACTAAGGCAGCTTTATAAATGAGCTGGCTCAGTTTCCACTGCAGAGTTTATATAATCCTCTGAGAGTAGGCAAAAGGTTCTTAAAATTTTAGTACAAAAATCACTCATGAGTTGGTTAAAAAGTTTCCATTTCCTTTTTGAAAAACCTGCTCTTATCAAAGGTGGGAAAAAAAACACACACACTGCATGTAAACACCATTCTTGCATAAAATCTTGCTCCAGAGAACCATGATTTGTACATTGTTTTTAAAAAAAGAGAATCCCTCCCCTCATTTACATTCACAACAAGCTTCCGTTGGAAAGTCGGCCGCATGGTGATGAACAGACAAAGGTCAAGTCCAGATGCAGCGTGGTGTCCTCCGGGGACGCGCCGGCTGGCTCTCCGCCCGCCCTTCCAGCGAAGGCCCGCGGGCTGCACGCCAAGGGCACGGGAGCACCGAGGGCCCGCGCGCAGGGCTGGCCGGCCCGAGACGAGCACAGCGCTGCGCGCCGTCACTGCATCCTCCACACCAGGCGCACGATGTAACGCAGCACGCGGAAGAGAACCATCTGCGGGCGGCCCTCGACAGCCTGCGGACGCACGAGGACCTGCAACGAGAAGGCAGAAGCCGCTCACTGCCCAGCCCTGACCTGTCTCAGGCGGGGCGGGGGGCGGGCGAGGAGGGCACCGGGCTTCAGGGAGCCACCAGCCCCGCGGGAAGCACTGAGAAGGGCACAGGCCACCCCGGTGCCGGCTCTTCCCAGAGCTGTCACCCGTCAGGAGCAGGGGCGCTGAGCGATGCTCTTTATCGAAAGGCTGTTTGGGAGACTCAGAGAGGGTCCCTGAGTCCGCTTCTCCCTCTAAAAGCCACATAATTCTGGGGCACTTCCCTGGTGGCCCAGTGGCTAAGGCTCTGCTTCGAAGGCAAAGAGCAGAGGTTTGATCCCCTATCGGAGAACTGAGATCCCGCCCGCCGCGGTCAAAAACAAAACAGCAACAACAAACAAAACCTGCACATTCTTTCCACAGGTGACGTCACAGCTGACCAGAGCTGCCTGGGCCAGGGGACCCAGCAACCACTGGAAAAGGAACAACCCAAAGCAGGCCGAGATGGCGTGGTCAGGCTCTGTCGCCCCACGCTTTGTAAACAATGACTGTAACAGCTGAGGCCATTTACGGCACTCTGCACGTGCATCACGAGGCACTCGCGTGGTCATGGGCTACTGCGCCCTGCACGCCTGTGTGAGCGTCACTATGAAAGCCCTGGCTGCTGCTGCATCAGGGTGACCTGGAGTGGCATCGTGATTGTTAATGAGGGGACACTTTGGCTATGCCGTGATTGCGCTGTGGCTGCTCTGCCAGCCAGGAGAGAAGAAATGTGTCTGCGGCTCCTGAGGCTCCTCGGGTCTCCTTCCAGCCTCTGAGCTCGCGCCTTGCCTGCCTCAGGCTCTGCGAACAGTGCAGTGTAGACACTAGACAGCTGGCGTCAGGAACAGGATGAAAGGCGGTACACCCACCACCTCCGCCCAGGTGCTGAGAAACGTCACCCAAGCTGGGGTCCCGTGAAGAGAGGCATGGGGAAAGCAGACGGGAACTCAGTGGATGCAAGCAACTAAGTTACTGACACTCACATTTGTTTCAGGCTCCCTTAAGGGTGAGTTTCGGGCGACTGTGACTTATTTGAGAAGTCACTGATTCGGGGTGATTTGCCCCAAGAAGCTAATAAAGTGAGGTGTTGACGTGCCCCCCTGCCTCTGGCGCGAGGCAGTTCTTCTGGGTGCATGCTGTCAGCCCAGCCCAGCGGCCAGGGTCAGCAAACAGGTGGAGTCAACTCCTACCCCTCCAGCCCTCACCCCAGAGCGGCAGGCAGAGAGCGACAAAAAATAGAACAACATGTCTATTTGCCGCTGACCCCCACAGGTTTAGGACAAGCTGAGATACTGCTCAGGAGGAAACTGCCAGGCTATTGAAAGTCTCAAGGTCCCCTGTCTTCCAGAGCACGCCCACCTTCGGATCTAATCCATTTTGCGGGTGAGTGCAGGGTGTAAAGGCTTCCCCAATCTGTGGTTCATCGGTAAATAATCTACCTGCCAATGCAGGAGATGCAAGTTCGATCCCTGGGTCGTGAAAATCCCCTGGAGGAGGGACTGGCAACCCACTCCACTCTAATATTTCCGGCCTGGAAAATCCCACAGAGAAGTCTGGAGGGCTACAGGCCCTGGGGTCACAAAGAGTAGGACACGACTTTGCAACTAAAAAACAACAGCAAGCAGAGTGCACACTCGGAGCAGCCGAAGCTGGTGACAGAGACCACCTGCTTCCCCGTCAGGAGCTGCTTCTCTGCTCAGGTCTGACTCAACACCCCAGGCCAGCTCTCTGCTTTGCCTAAAGCTCTCCATCAACCCCTTTCCTCACTCTGGGGGGCTGGTCTTTTCCAATGCAGAAACTTGGGACCACTGGCCATGGGGCAGGCTGAGGACGGGTGTCCCCTCCCAGACCTAACTGCCGCCTGCAGGCCAGCTGCAAGCAGGGTTCCCTCCTGGCCACTGTTTACACAGCCCTCTGGGGCGTGCTGGACGGGATGGAACTGTGATAAGGCCTGAGCACTTCCCGTGCTCCTTCCAGAACCAGACTGGAGGAAATCGGCTTTATGTAAGCGATTCCTGTAGAGGCGTTCCGTAACCACAGTCTGCGATTTTTATCTGCTCGACACACAAGATTGCTTTGTTTTGATTTAACTTTCTAAATTACTTTGCTTCTTCGGGGTGAGAATAATTTAGGGGAAGGTTAATTTTAGTTGAGACTAATATTAACAGGTTGAAAGAGGCTTATTCAAAATAAAACCACGATTTACTAAAATGAAGAAAGTGTACATGGGGCTGGGCTAACCATTGCTTCACGATGGGGAAAGACGTCTTAAAGCTGTCTGGCTGGCCCTGGTGGCCTTCAGGCGGGCCAGAGAATGGAGTCAAGATGACCCCACGAGGGGACCAGGTCACACGCAGGGATGGACCCTGACTGTTGACCCTTGGCCAATTTTATATTCCAGAAATGGAATTATCTAAGAGGAGAAAACCTTCCATGCACACTATGAGGACAACAGGTGCAAAAGAATTTTTTATTGAGTTTTGCTTTCGTCTCACATGAAAAGAATATGCGGTGGAGATGCGAAGACATGCCAGGGTGGCAGGGGAACGCAGGAAAAATTTGGCGAAAGGGACAGCCAGCCCCTGACCAACGAGGAGATGCTACCAGGTTGGGGTGAGCGAAGGCCGGGGACGCCTGGCCCGCAGACACACGCGGGACAGCCCGGCACACGCCATCACTCCAGCGGACAACCGATTCTGGACGAGATTCAGCGGAGGAAGCCATTACTGCTGATTCCGAGAGCGGCGCCAGCCCAGAGAGCCCTTGACAGCTGGCCCAGCCAGCCAAAGCTGCTGCTGGCTCACACCTCACAGACAGCCGGAGGACGGGCAACTCCCGTGAGGGTGGGTGTGCTGCCCTCCGACACCTGCAGAGGGCACAGAGATCGTCTCGCCAGTGGCAGCCACCAACACACACTGCAGCGCAGCGAGTGAGAGGGCCTGGGCTTCTGGCCTCCGGGACTATGAAAGAAAGCCGTTTCTGCTGTTTAAGGCCCCCGCCTGTGCTCCAGACACCCTAGCAAACTAATGTAGCCGTGCGTGCTCAACCATCGCGCCTACACCTTTCCCTCTAAGTGAAAAACAGTGCTTCCCAGCTCAAGAATTGCATAATGCTGCTTTAGTCTAAACCATAAAAACACTTTAAAAAGATATATTACAATGGTACATTTGGAGGGAAAAAGATTAAAACACTAAACACGCTCCTAGGTTCAAATCCTTTCTGTTTCTCAGTTTCCTCTTCTGCTCATCCACACATGCGCACAAAGTACAGTATCCCATCCCACTGGGACTTCTGTCTCTGTGGTCTAGACCGGGGTCCCCCTGAGGGCCTTGCCCCTCTCTGGCTGAGGGGCTCTGGCCGCCCTCATACGGGCCCGCCTGACAGGGAACACCTGACTTCGAAGCCTGTCTGCACGCAGGAGGTCTTGGGGGCACTCCTGAGTCACAGCCCACCGCACTGGGTGCCTGTGGTGCTGCCATCAACGGGAACAGCCGCAGAGAAAGTCTGGGCCCCAACCCAGAGGCCAGGCAGAGGCAAGTGCAAGCGCCCGCCTTGCAGACTGAAAAGCACCCACGCGTGCCAGTGAGACCGAGGCCTTGCACCAAAACAGTCAAGACGCGGATGGTCCTTCCCGTCCAAAGAGCAGATGTGACAGCGCGCTACCGCGCTGCTTTGCTGTCATAGAACGCAGCACTGGCCACCACCACGGTTTCAGCTCTGGGACCACTTCAGGTGGCACTTGGGACCACCAATCACACATTGGGGGATTTTAACTCCATCTGCAGGCCAAAATAATCATGGCCAAACATGCTCTCTTGCCTGGGAAGCAGGCGTGCAGGATGCAACAGAGATCTGGAGAGACTTCCTGGTGGTCCAGTGGCTAAGACTCTGTGCTCCCAAGGCAGGGATCCCAATGCCATGGAGCCCTGATCCCGTGGGCCACAACCACGAAGCTGGCGCTCTAGAGCCTGTGAGCTGCAACTACCGTGCTCGCGTGCTGCAAATACTGAAGCCTGTGCAATCCAGAGTCTGTCCCAACAAGAGAAGCCACTACAATGAGAAGCCCATGTACCGTAACTGGAGAAGAGCCCCCACTCACCACAACTAGAGAAGGTCTGCCCAGCAACAAAACACAGCACAGATAAAAATAAATACTTTTTTTTTTTAAGTATTTTTAAAAATGTATTTTAAAATACCCTCCCAGACTGCCCTGGAGAACTGGTCAGGGGGACCATGGCACACCCAAGGAGGGCAGCTCTGATTCCTCTTTCCTATCCTGCAGGCAGAGATGAGTCCGGGCTCCGCAAAGTCCACAGGACAAACCAGGCCTTCTGACTTCATGCACCCGAGCCTGGGGACTCAAAGAATCGCGCACTGTCACCACTAAATGGAACCACCTGGCCCAAGCCTTTTCTCTTCACGACCTCTGAGCCAGCGTGGCTCTCTTGCGTCTCACAGACCGAGCCTACAGATCAGGAAACACCAGGGGACCTGACTGCCTGCCTTGAGTTCCAGCACAGCGCAGGACACTCTCAACAATCTGGGCTCCACAGGCCTCACTGGGCCCGATGACTCGGTAAGTACCACCCAGAGGTTCACTCGGCATCATCACTCAAGGGGGCTTACCATCAAAACCAGAGAGACGCACAAAGCGCAACAAAAATAAAGGTTGAGTAAGGCCATAAACATGATTAAGAGATACTGAAAAAAAAAAAAAAAAGAAAAAGGAAGAGGAAAAGAAGACTAATCCAGGGAACTAGGACGGAGATTTGGTGCCACAGAACCACAGTTAAGAGTTTTCTGGCAGTCAAGGTAACAATGGCAACACGACACTATTTTCTCCATCTTATCAAAAAAAAGCATAATACCAAACTCTTGGAGACAAACCAAATAGCAAGGTATACCAGAACTCTGAGACTCTGAGTGATTTAACTTGTTCAAAGGCTTGCTTCTTAAGAGA